ATTTAATTAAACACCAATTGTAATTGTAAAATAATATGATAAAAACGAATAATTCATACAAATTAGAACTAATTTGGAAAAAAGAAATATTTCTGTTTCATCATTAAAAAGAAAAAAGAAAAAAAATTGAACATGTGTCAGATCATAACAGCTATCAGTTGGCAAATATAAACTCTGAATAGTGCTGTAAGAGTAAAATCTCAGAGAAGAGACGCCAGGACTAATTTAAGCACAATTTAGCTTATCAGACAGGTTTGCTCAATATAACAAAATAAAATGTAGTATAGGGTCGAATACGGGTCTATCTTGTACTGTTATTAAAGAAGGGCAATATGCAAGTCAAAAAAGATCTCACAAAAAGAAACCAATTAATTAAAATCAGATGAAGATGACAAAGGGGAGTGAACTAAACAGGAACCAAAGCCTTATGCCACCCACATTAATTTTATTAACAACTGATATTTATAAAATAAAAATAAAATTTTTGAGTAGAGTTTTTGTTTTATCTATTAAACGTACATGCATTTAAAAATGAATCTGCTGAATATTTTTAAGTTGCATTAGCCAAATGATTGCAGATGTAAATTATCAATACTAGTTTGTACTCCTACCATGTACTTAAAAGCTAATGTTGAATACATGGCAATGGTCATACAAACTGGCTGATTGCTTGACATAGTTGAAAGGCATGGAAAATGTAGCAAAGTATACGTATTGTTTCTAAACAAATGGAACAGAAAACCCAAATACCAAAAAATACATTAATGGCAGCATAATCTACTTGTAAGTTCAAGCTTATAATTTCCAAGAGCTTTAATGCAATTCATACTCCTATAATCGATAATAAATTCAAATATTCCATTTAACTTTCAGAAATGTAATTACCATGATTTATTGGTTGGTTGGTTGACAATTGTTCGCAGACCATATTATTTAGAAACTATCACATCACATAGATATAATAAAAGAATGCAGTTTTAATGATGCTATGGTATAATTATTTTTAATTGACTATGGTTTAAGGCACATAATAAATGTTAATTAATGGACTAATCTGATCTGGAAATTATTATATGCAATTCATTCACAAATAGAATAAGTTACCTTTTGCATTCGAAATGCATACAAACGATGATCTTAAAAAGACGCAAATATTATTTACAGTTTTAACAGAAACAAAATCATATTCACAGATATAAACCATGTTAAAAGTCCACTTTAATGTGATATAACACATTTAAATTAGCTGTTAAATCAAAAATTCTTGTGAATACAAATGCAAACATAATTAAAACAACAAAATCCTTACTGTTTAATTTACATAGTAGTTATGACTTAATGTTTGTTTATTATAAATTGATTATTATATTAATATTATAGTAATTTCCTTTTATAAACAGAAGAATAGTTTCTTATATTACACTCAGAGAAAAAAGTTACTTTTTATTTAATATGAAAAAATGCAAGTAATTTATTAAAATATTTGTCTTGAAATTTGTTAACAAGCATTTCGGTCACTCATGTCTTTTTAATGTATTTTTGTAATATGTAAATGAGAGTATTATTCATAAAAAGCATTTACTAGTCAATAGACATTCAATTTAAACAATGCTCAATAATGTACAATGAATTATTATTCTTAAACAATAAACAATAAGTAGAATCTCACAACAAAATAACAGCCAGAGAATAAAGTGTATGCTTAAAGTAATTAGGCATTATTCAAGAATTATTAGAGCAGGCAATTGGAGGAAGACTAATGTATTAAGTAATTCAAGAATAAAAGTTTCCATTTCAATTATAGCCATTTACGGAAGATACAAGAAAATGTGAAGTTTATGTGTTTTTCAATGCAAGCTACATAATGAATTCAATTAACAATTAAAACTACTGACTTCAACTGATTATATTGAGATTCATCACTTGTATCAATATATTTTGTAGTTAAAGAGTCTCAATTTTTAATGTTTCATTATAATTTTATGATCACCATTGAATTATTTTTATCTTCAATCAAAGGTCTTTTCTTTTAAATGACACCTTTCCCAAGTATCTTATGATTAGAGCCTAGATTTTTGGATTTTCCAAATTGAAATGTTGTATACTCATAAGGATTGTGTTGTGAAATAACAAAATAAATGTGACAATCAAGGAGTATATTATTATATCTAAACAAAAACATCAAAGAATATTACACATCAGAATACCACAAACGTGGCTGGATCAGAAGGAACACAACAGAACAGGAAGACACTTATGGTAATTATGAGAACTAGCAAGCCCCCCCAACATTATTATTTCTGTCTTCTCAAAAGTGTTTGTAATTTGTGGTTTTCCACTTCAGAGTAATCTAAATCAGACTGAAATATATGGTAACATCTCAACACATGATAATACCTGTCTCCTACACGTCTTTTTTCTTAATTATTTCTAGCCCTTTAAGTTGTATTAGATATTAAAGTCTCATTTCATAGTTTTTTTTAAAAACAGGAAAAATGAAATATCAGACTCCTACAAAATATTTTGGATAAAATATTTACAAAATTTTCAATTTTGAAGCAAGGAACAAAACAGATAAAGACATAAAATTTCAAGCCCTAATTATTCCAATTCACAATTTTGAGAATCCTTAACTAATGAAGATGAAAAGAAATAACAAAATCATCTTTAACAAACAATTCCGTTCTTTGGAATATTACTAATTTAGTAATCCTTAATTACTTTCAACATGCTCCAATATTAGCAATATTATACAGTCGAAAATTGTTAGTATTAAAGCAGTAAGTAATAATCGTAATCATAATTAATGAATAACTAAATAACAGTTCATGAAACATTTTACGTAATTGCAAGATGCAACTAATTTTGGCCAATTTAACAGAAATAGAACAATGAAATTGATATAACAACATTTTTCATGTTATTCCCAATAAAATACGATTGTTCCCGAGTAAATACAATATTTTCAAACATGTCTGAAAGTAAGCAATTTATATGGACTTCAAATAGGAATCATGACCTTTGAAAATTAAGCATTCCTTTTTAGTGTAAATACGAACTCCTAAAAGTTACCATTTCAAATGATGTGAAAATGAAAAGAAATTCAAGTTAAATTAATATTTCACATTTTTGAATGGTTTTTTCTTAGGAGCCTTGATCACAAATGCAGGAATATATTTTGCACAGTTTAACTATTTTAAAATACCACTTTCTTTTCTAACATAAACTCCTCTGATGTATTTATTTATATTATAATTACCAATTAAAAGGTTTTGATCTGACAAAATCTAATGATTCATGTCAAGTATAGAGTTTGATAAATGATACATTATTAAAACAAATATTTGTATTATATATTATCATTAAATATGTTTTAGAAATTGAAAAAAAATTCCCTTCAGTAGATCTACATGAATTCAGGAATTAATCCTCCCCCCCTCATCATCTGTTGATTTATAAGATGGGAAAAAAATGAATTACCCAAACATATTTGGTTGCTTAATGTTTAATGTTTTAGTAGATTGTAGCATGGTAAATCACAACTGGCTATGTATCAAAAAGATCCTTTCGCCCCAGAGCAAGGCACATTAGAAAGGCGGATCAGAGCTAAAGAGATGCTATCAGCAATCAGACTGGAAGAGGGGAGAAGTGCCAAGAGCAATTCAAGGTCAGAAAAATTAGAGGCGAAGTGTCAAACTGCTCAGTTTTATGTGGGACATTGCATATTTATATGTACATCATGAATGAAGAATACCTCTGGCACGAACAATCTGGTGATATTTAAAAGTGAATGAGAAGAATATTGTATTTTATTTTCTCAAACTGAAGACAATGTAAAATGTTTTCTTAGCAGTTAAAATGTTCGCTCCAAAGAGATTTACACAATTTTGCAGGGAAACATGACAAGTACACTTGTGAAGAATATGCTGCAGTTGCATTAGCTTGTTATAACGACACCTGTTGCAATGTACAATCAGATTTAATGAACAAAATGATCAGCCCCTGAAATAATGTACAAAAAAAGCACTGATATTGCATACAACGACAACAACAGTTAGACTACATTTCTATGTATCGTATATCAATTAATCAGTGGCTGCTGATATATCAATTATAGCAGAGAGTTATCATCTTCGGTTCTATGCAATGAAAACAAAAGCTTTTTTAACTATTACCTTGACAACTTTGAAAAACAGCTGGTCTATGCATGTGCGAAAACTTACAAAGTTGCACATGCAACGTTGTTATTTGTGAGGACCAGTGTTTTTTGAATATCACAACATGCCTCCACAACAGTTTATTAGAGAAAGGGAGGGTGGTTTGATCTGTCCATGTCCTACCCAATTCTTCGCTGTTGTTTAGGAGATTGGGAATTGCTATGTCGAGTGAAATATAGGGTTTGTATACATCCCACAAAATATGAAATTGTCTCATTTTCACGAATTCTGTCCCCTTCCCCTTTCTTGGGGCCACCCAAAATGTCCCATATTTTGCTTTGTTCCATCTATTGTTATTGGGAACCACAGCTAAAACAATAATTATTTATTTATTGATTTATTAAACTTTACAGACCTTGATAAGTCCTCTTTACAAAAATAACACAATTATCAGAATAAAAGTATCACTATCATCGCAATTATATCTAGATTTTATGGACAATTTGTTCATATTATAATTTTATATATAAAAAAACTTGGGAAAACAAAATATGGACCTTATATGCACCTTCCTGCACCCTGCACATCTTATAAATAAAATTGTTTTTTCCACTGAAATCGATGCAATGTAGCGAAAAAGTTATTACAGAGAAAATTAAAGCTGACGAAATTGCCTATGAAATTGTTTCTACCTATTTTCTTTTTATTCCCGATAGCTAAAGGTTATTTGTTACGAAAAATAAAAATTTTACCTTACAAATTTTAGGAGTTTGATAGCACTTTTTCAAATCCTTTAAGAGGATAAAAGTGCTGTCAAACTCCTAAAATTTGTAAGGTAAAATTTTCATTTATCTTAACAAATAACCTTGTGCTATTGGGAATAGAAAGAAAATGGGTAGAAACAATTTCGTTGGCAATTTCGTCAGCTTTAATTTTCTCTGTAATAACTTTTTCGCTACATTGCATCGATTTCAGTGGAAAAAACAATTTTATTTATAAGATGTGTGGGGTGCAGGAGGGTGCATACAAGGTCCTTTATAGGAAGTCATGACAGGTCCCTGTCAAGCAATGATATAATAAAAATACACAGTAAATGACAATATCCTATTCTTTAACTTAGGTCTTTTGTTATTTTGCAATACTTTCAGGAGAAAAAATAGGAGACCCTTTTTTTTGTTAAAGAACATAATCCTTAGTGAAACTACCGTCCATCTCCCTTTTCCGTTCATTTGACAACTTCAGTCGAACTTGTCTTAATACATGAGAACATGTTGCAGCAACAGTTCATTACTGAGCACCAGGAATAATTAGCAGAGTGATTCAGGTGATTTCATGAGCTCAAATAGGCCAAGAATTCCACACAGCTCACTCAACAATTGCTAGAATGATGAGCCAGAACAAAATTATAGCCTAATTTAATGCACAAATATGCAAATACGAAGCAGTTTCTTTTTGGGTTCTAAATTATGAAAACTTGTTATTTTAATATATTAGTGCAAGATCTGGGCTCCCCGGATGATGCCATGTCGCAGGCTGGGGTACAAACATTTCTACCAACATATCGCAATCTTCTTCTGGGCTTTAGTGCCAAACTAAAGCCCTGAAGAAGACCGTAATATGTCGTTCGAAACGTTGGCACCTCAGCCTCCAACACAGCGTCACCCAGACAGATCAGATCATGACTCTGGCCGTGGAAGCCTACGACATCATATTAGTATATGTAAACGTGCAGATGCCACCAAATGTTATGGTGGAGCTTATTTTGAGACTCCATTAATGATGATGGAAAATTACATTATTTTGACACCATTACCTCTGTAACCCCTGATCCAATCTTTTTGCTTTTTATGTTAAATGAAAGATAACATGTTCTTTAAGAAATGTCCTTACACACATTTTGTGATCTAAAAAGTTGCTCTAGTGGCATTAAAATGGTTCAAGCTAATTTTGGAAAAGTGCCAATACAATCGATAATACCAATTAAAAAGACACTGGCTACAAATGCTAAGAAAGCGCATTGAAGTATGTGAAAAATCATTTTGACTGTATTTATGACAACTATGATTTTTCATCTTTTGAAAATATAAATGAATACAAGACACTTAAAGTTGTATAAAAAGTAATTTTCAATGTAGAGATTCTATTTAGAACATTAAACAAGTTAAAAGATATTCAAGGAACTTTTTTTAGGGAGAATTAAAACAAGTTGCATTCTCCTTCACAAATTCTGATATTCTGATCCTAGAATGTCAGCCAACAGCATTTATGCACATTTATGAATCAAGCTGTGTATATAAATCATTGTAACCACCTCTGACTATTCACTATTTTCTCAATTTTTGCAGGCACCAGAATGTAGCCCTTTACATGTCATTAACCTCGACACATTGTACCATGTGATTTTCCAAGATTTTCCAAGTTTCCGGATAATATTATGGAAATCAAGCAATTAAAAAGAAATATACTAAAAAGGAGAAAGATAGAAAATATTGTGCTGAATACTAAGAAAACAAGAACATAGTATCCTGTTATTTACTCGCTACAAGATGAATTGGAAACTATATGCAGAAGGTAGTTGGGCCATTGGTTACAAATAGTATATATAAAAATGTACATTTAATATTTGAAAATTTCAATGTACTGAAAATGTAAGTGGTTAAAACTTGTGGCATAAATTCACACCTGACCAAATCACTGGGTTCATTAATGTCATGAATAGTCAAAATATTTTGTTGATGAAATACCAGAAACCGGAATTGAAATATGTCATTCACACATTAATATAAAGGGGAAATATGACACTAGAGATGTGCACAAACAACAGAATTTGGTTAAAACTTCCAATATTATTTCCTTGCAATCATCGCTATGAAAAGAGTTATGGAAGTATAATGAACAGACAATCCTTCATCAATGAAGGAAATTGAAAAAATATTTTTTGTTTTAAAATCTGGTGTACTATTCCTCAGGAACGTGCATGCTTTACAATGAAGTAAAATTTTGTTTTACATTTCATTATATTACAATAATTAGAAGATGAAATAAAATAAATTAATAGTACAAGAACATTACAATAAAACACCAATTTACTACAGGTAGTAAATAATGTATTTCCCACATGTTCTTGTATAATTAGGTGTTGCATTCCTTTAAGTTAACTAAGTTATTAGTATTATAGAAGTATTCATATTACCACAACATAATTAAAGATGTTGTCATTGCCAACAATGTTTTTTAATTCAAAACATTGTTGGCAATAACAACATCTTTAATTATTTTAAAAATGCCAAAGATATCCTACCACAACACCTATATTACCACAACATATTTATGGAAGCAATATGTAAACACATTCACCCTGTGGTTCATCACTTTTCAGTAAAAAGTATTTGAATATATCTTAGATATTTCTTAGCTCACAGAATATTAATTCCAAAAAATAATGTTCTCACTTATTTACATTATATTCACTGTTGTAATCACAGGTCATTTACTTATCACATAAGTTTTTTTAATCACAGAAAAATGGAATAATTGGGAACCCCTGTTTGAAATCAATGATTATTAAATCATTTCCCTGCCAATCAAACAAATAACAAAAAGAGTAAATTAAACTCTGCAGTACAAATTCCATTATGCATGGAAAGTATAAAATACAATAACATTATAAAATAAATTACAATAATACACTATAAATTATCAGTAACAATACTGTACAGATGGCACTATAAAACTAAAAACGTAATATACCAGTCATCAAAATGAAGTTTCAAATTACTAAATTCTATAAATACCATTACTTGCTTATTCTGTATTGACAGAAGCATTTAGAATATAATTTAAATTGTTTCCTTAGTACAATCATTCTTACATTGCCATTAATATTAAAAATGATAGGCATAGCTGTCATTACCAAGTATTTTAATAGTTTTATGCAGCATGTGGTATGTGCAAATATTGTGATAATGAACACAAATTGCTGGTAAAATCCCAATTACTGGTGATAAGCACAGGTGGTCCAATTACTGGTGATAAGCCAAAATAGCATGTTATATAAAATGGCATGTTATATAAAATTGGAAAATGGCTGTGACAATTGAAGTAGACTGGGTGGCACTGTGTAGTATCCCTCAATTTGGATGCTTACCCAAGAAATTACCAGGTACAAAACCTCGCATGCCATTTAAATCCTCAGCAAGCCACCATTCTGAATTGTTTTCAGCATCATGTTTCTGCAGAATTTTCACAAGTTGACCGGATTTTACACTTAGAGTTCTCACACCATCTCCTTGGAAGTCATACATTGCATAATAAACCTATAAAGGCAAGAACATTTTTAATTATATAAAAAATAAATATTAAACATTAAATATTATTTAACTGATTAATTAATAAATTAACTGAAAATTAATAATAAATAATTTTCATAGGGAATTTGGAAAGCTGAAGGAACTAACGGAAAACACAATAACTTTGGTTCACACAGTTGGGTTTGATGATTGGATATGATTATTATTTAACTTTCTTTTTCTCTCCCCACCCCTATCTCCAGGGGTCAGGGGTAGAGGATCAAGTTTGGTATCATAGGAAGGACTCTGTTGAAACAAACAACTTCCATTACCCATTTTTCTTGATCCAATGTGCACTTTTCGAGAATGTAGAGTATGCAGAAAAAAATTTAAGCAAACTGGATTAAACAGAAATATTAATTTAAAAGTCTAAAAATGTATGTCACTTACAAAAATTCCATTCCATTATTTTTAGTAGGTGTTATATTGTGTTAACAATTGAATCAGAAGGGACAAGGAACACTGAAGAAAATAGAACATTAAATAAAAAGAATCCTGAAAATGTAAATGGATGTAGTTTTTCAAAATTTTTTTATATTTATTTTTATTTATGTTAACACTATATGGATGCAAATATTTTGAAAGGTCCCACAGAAAATCACTTGACAAAGACACACATAAAGAATAGAAAATGGAAAAATAAGGAAGTGGTAGTATTACTTGGAAGGTTAAATGTTATTTTGATTTTTTGAAAAGTAATTTTATTGCTGTATTACAGAAGCTTCAACAGAAACATGACTTACCTCTTCAGCAGGCTCAGCATCATCTTCTGGAATTTCTGAATAATGAGATACCTGGAAAAAATCAATTAATTGTAAACATGTAGTTGAGGTGAAAGGGGGTCGAATAATTTACTCAGAAGTGACTTTTTTACAAAAACTTCGATATAACAAGAATATATTTTTGAAAGTTCATGACAACCTATTTTTCTTCACACCATGTTGGTCTCTGGAAAATGCTTTCTGAATAGGTATTTAGAACTTTTTTTAATTGTCAAGATTTTACTGAAAAGAACTTGAGTATTATTCATTTTTGGAAAAATTATACGACATTAAATATGTAATATCGAAGAATAGATTTCATTAAGAAAGAAAATGTCTATCTTCAATCATTTTATTGGAGGGCATAAACAAAAACTACTTTTGCAATTTTTGAAAATTCATAGGATTTAATGAAAATTAGATCTATGCTATTTACAAGTACACATGAACTTGGTTCTATTGGAGCAAAAAATTTAAAGAAAATATTTAGAGACATTTTAAAAGAAAATTTTGAAAATGTCCTGGGGACCTTGTCTTTCATGTCCATGTAAAGTATCCTCACAAACTAAAAGTAATGTTTCAATTCCTATGGGCTATGACATCATTCACATTGATTGCAGAACACTTAATTTTGGTAAAAATTCTGTTTACAGATTAAGTGCTAGTATTGTTCACAGTTGGATGGGCAGACAGCCAGGCATGTTGAGAATAAACCCTTTCTTGAATCATGAATGCACAAACTGGATTCTGACTATAATACAAAATGTATAAGACCAAGAACAATCCACTTTCTTGTTACCAAGGACCCACAAAATGTGTTTTTGTTGAAAAATAGACACTTTTCCTTCCCTTCAGCATTACATAACTTTCTCTTACTATGTAGTAATAAACAAGAAAGTGAAAAGTCATGAATACAGCAATGCAATGTTTTTAATATTTAGTCTGTAAGCAAAGAAAACAGCGATAGGTTAACTAAGGATTATCCTACTCTTCAAAAGATAAAGCAAAAAGGTATTTAAAATTATTGGATAAAGGAGGTCTTACGATAGCCTGTAATTTCTCAAAGAAGATAGTCCTACAACAGCACAAACTTCCATGTATTATTTTGGTAACTGCTGTATAATATTATATTCTGATGAAACTTGTTGAAATTACTTTAACTTTGATACTAAATGTTAAGCAATCTTTTGAAAAGAAGGGCAGGAAATGTGAATTTGCCATTTTTGAAGGCAGCACTTTTCAACATTTCAGAGATTTGGATGAAAATAGGACTTAAACATCAGTCATAAGCACACTTTACTGTGCCTGGGGAGAGATTTAATGTTGTAAATTCTTCTTATTTAAGGCATAATTATTAAGGAAAGTTATTGATTGTTCATGAAATTCATTTTATTCACCTTCGTATCAATTCAATACATAACACAGTACATAGCAACTATTGCCTTTGTTACCGCATCCTTCTATAATCCGTTGTACATCAAAAGATATTACTAATAAACATTCATTGAACGAATACTACAAGTACAACTCTAACAATTCCCACCTTTCGTGCAAAGAATATTATAACCTTAATTTAGGAAATTCATATTTGAAATATGTTTCTTCTTTCACAAAATTGAATTTTCTTTCTAGTTTTATGATTCTTTATATTTTTCAACTGTTCTTCTATTGCAGTTTCCCATTCTTTTCTATCAATTAATTCAATAGCTTCTCTATAACACCTCAGTTCATTCTCTCTTGTCACCTGTGCTGTATATCTAACAACTGTTTTTCTTTGTCTAGAAGATCTTCAAAGGTGTAAATCAATATTTGAGTTAATGTATGTTTTGGCATACACAATTCATCTTCCACAAGCCTTAAATCATCAACTTGCTCTTGTTCACATTCATCCTTGTTCTTTTCTACTATATGTTCACCAGAAATATCATTAATTTGCAACAGATTTTCACGAACTCTATTTAAATTTTTTTTAGTTCACTCTTATATTGACTTTCATTTGATAACAGAAGATATTCAATATCATTTGATATGTTCTGTTTAGATGAATTATATCCTTTTTCATTTTGTAAGAAAACAATATCTCTAGTTTCTAATATCTTCTGAGTAAATGGATGAAAAACATGATACACACATCTATTCCTTGAATATCCAACAAATATTCCAGGTATTAATCTAGTATCAAATTTGTTTTTAATAACATTTTAATTTCTGTAAAATACCTTGCATCCAAAACTTTTAAAATGTTTTACTGACAGTTTTTGCTCATTCCCTATTTCCATAGGTACCTTTTCTCCCTTCTTATTAAAAGTAACATTATGTATGTATGTTGCCGTTGAAGTTGCTTCTGCCCAAAAACTCTTAGGCAGTTTTGCATCTATTAACAAAGTTCTTGTCATTTTAATAATTGTCCTGATTGCCCTTTCAGCAATTCTATTACTTAGAGGCAAATGTATAGTAGTTTTTCCACATTTTATTCCTTTACTTTTACATCATGCTAATAATGATTTATTTATAAATTCAGAACCATTATTGGAATGAACACAACAGACTCGTCGAGATGTATCATTTTCTCTTCTTTCTACAAATTCTTTGATTTTAACAGCACATTCATTTTAAGAAATTAAAGAATCAACAAAATATCTTCTACTAAATTCATCAACGATCATTAACGTAAATAACTGCTTCCTCCTAATGACTTTTCCAGCATAGGTCCACACAAATCCACATGTATGCGCTCCAATATTCGTGTTGTTTTTGCATGCAATGTTTCTTTAAATGATATTCTTGTGAATTTACCTTGTACACATGATTCACAAAAGATATTACTTTGCAGATCAATAACATTCACACCATCTAATCCTCTTACCATATTCCACCTCCCTCATATTTATGATTGATATGTCCTAATCATTGATGCCATAACTTGTTTATTGATTTATCTACTTTAAAACATGTATCATTTTAACAATTTTCACTTTCATCGCTTATGTTCATTCTAAAAATAAACTTATCCCTTTCAAAAAAGCCTCTAGCTATCATATTTTTACTTATTTTGTCATAAATCTTAACTCCACTATCATCTAACACAATTTTCTTACCTTTTTTTAACTAGACTTGCAACTGCTAATAAATTGCTATTCATTTCAGGCACATATAACATTTCAACACTAATTTTCACTTCTTTATCTTCTTCACCCAAGTGACTAATTCCATTTAGTTTTCCTCTGAACTTCGAATATATACTTCTTCCCTTTTCAGCAGTTGTAATTTCCTTTCCTTCAGGAACAATGTCAACCATTAAATGTACTTGTGAAGTCAAATGTGAAGTACATGCAGAATTCAGCATCCACTCCATTTCTTGAAACATTGTAACCTCCCACAGTTTTCATTGCATGAACACTTTCTTAATTTTTAACAATAAATGTTTTATTTCTATTCCAATTTCTTTGATTACTATTAAAATTTTTATGAGTAGCTTTCTCATTTCTAAAATTTTCCTTTCCTTTTTTATTTCTAAACCAGCAATTTTTAGTTAAATATCAAATTATACCACAACAACTAAATATTTTATTCTCTTTAGTTTTAAGAACAGCTACTTTTTTTTAACATTGTAATGCACATACCTTTCTTCATATCATAAAACACTCTCATCGACTTAAAATCAACATGCGGATTGGCATACAATGCTGTTGCAACTTCACTGTAATATTTTGGCAAACCATCTATTATGTAATGAATAAGTTCGTCTTCTTCCACTCTCGATCCTAATTCATAAATTTCACATCCCGAACCTCTCACCCACATCAGAAAGTCCCCAATAGCTTCTCTTTCCATCTACTCTATTCTTGCTAACTTCATCTTTAACAGTCAGTCGATGCCGTTCAGTTCCTTCGTGTCTTTTCTTTAAAGTCTCCCAAAGTTCTTTAACACTTTTAATTCCTCTGCATACCAAAGGCTGTTCTTCTGACAATGTTAAAATAATCATTGCCATAACTTCATCATTTTTATATGACCAGTCATGCAATATCTTAACACTTACTTCATCTCTTTCGTCTAATGATGGTTCTCCAGTCACAATAACATCTTCATATAAATGTTTTGACTAGATGACACACTTATTCTTAGGCTGAACAAATTAGAATTGAAATTTCTCAACATTTCAATTTCTGCCTATGTTCCTCCAGCCTTTGTTTTAATTCACTTCTGTATTATCTCGGAATTAAATACTTCAAACCACTTTAAACTTCAGTATGCATGCTCTGTTACCATACTGTTGTTTTTTCTTCTTATTTAAAGCAAAAGAAACATTTTATTTCACCTTCATATCAATTCAATACATAATAACACAGTACATAGCAACTATTGCCTTCGTTACCTCAGCATTCTATTATCTGTTGTACATCAAAAGATATTACTAATAAATATTCTTTGAATGAATATGAGTACAACTAACATTTAAAGAATAGAAAAATGTATCCATCCTGGAAATCGAACCCCCACCATCCGCTGGTAGGATGCAACTTGACTATGAGACTGCACTACCAATTTACTTATTACTTAGAAAGAGAAATACATCTACATTAAAAACCTTTTAAGATTTTGAGAAACCTCATTCATCAAAAGAGATCATCTGAAGCATTTGTGCTCACAAAAATGTATTAAATTACAAAATACTGTTCTACTGTAAATATTAACATCAGAAATTTTCAAAAAATTAGAAATGTTTAACTTTTGAAAATTCATAAGTTTGATTAAAACTGGCATTTCTGCTAAATAATTCTATTCTGAGGTCTTTCCTCACAAAATGTTTTAAAAAATTGGAACCATTAATGAGAAAACCTTCCTTAGGTATTTATGGCAAATTGTCATGATTTAACTCAAAATTACATGAAAAGTAGAAATTATTTCAAGAAATAGCAAAAGATTATTTAAAGATCTAGAGTTGAAATATATACTGCATTAAGGAAGAAATTTGATGAAATTAAGGAAGATCGAATGTAAAGGTAACAAAATTTTTGGTCTCTCGATTCAGTAAAATCTCAAACAGTATGTCAATTTAAATGAACTGAATACAAAACTAGGTTCATTATGCTACGCATTCAGAATTCTTTCAAATGCAGTTAGCGTTCACCCTGCTCATTGTGTATATTTTGCAAAAGTTCATTACTGTCTGAGATATGGTAGAATATTCTGGAGAAACAACCTATAGCTCCCAAAATTTTAGAATACAAAAACAGAATTGTATGAATAATAAGCAAATCTTACCCATGTGATTCTGGTAAGCATTCCTTAATTACAATAATAATTTTACCATTACCTTGACTCTTGATTTATGAATCAGTGGGTTTTGACAAAAATGACTTACTCAAGGGTGGGAACATATTTTCAATGAATACCGATGTCTATAATTGTAACACTCAACGTAGTAATCACATACATCAGGTCAATGGCGGATTCAGGAAGAGGGGGCATGGGGGCCATGGCCCCACCCAGAAGGCCTAGAATTTTCGTTAGTAACCTTCTTTTATTTGGCAAAATGGATTTAAATATTTATTTGTCAGTATTATGTAATTATTTTAGAAATAATATTGTATAGTATCAAATATCCATTACATAAATAACATACAAAACAATATAATTTAATACTCCAAAACGATCGGCTGGATCCCTCTTGCCTTTATTACAACCTGAATAAAATTGAATCAAAGAAATAGAAAGCTTCCATTTGTACTATACAATTTTTAAAAGCCTAAATATGCTTGCTACAAGTATTATCCTACCTCAGCTTTTAAGTCAATGACCCCCATCTGAATAAGCTTTTGCAGTGCTCCCAGTGCCAGTCTTTGCAGTGCTTCCTCAGTCCCCAGAAAAAATAAACTTACATAATTTTTTAAATTTGAAAAGTTTTAATGAAAACCAGGCACATGCCATATTTATAAGTGCATGTTAAAGGCCTGTTTTCAATTTGCAGGGTCTCATGTTTTCCCTAAAACATTACTTACTTTCCTTGTTTTATGCAAGAAAGTAAAAATTAATTGAAATTATTATTACAGGACCTCCTTTCCAATTCTGGATCAAACCTATACTAATCCAAAACAAACTATACAAGAGAGTGAAGAATATTCCTCAAAGGGAAGAAAATCAATTGAGGAAGGCAGAGGTGATGAAAATGGGCCAGTAGGAATAGTACAGGGCTGCTCAAGTGGGCTGGCTACTTGGTATGCCTTGGCCCAGAGCATACCTGAAAACCACCAGTGTGCCCTGCTTGATGGGTCTGCTCGACTGGAGTGGTGGAGGGGTGGGGTGTGAAAGAGTGGGTAGGAAAGGAAGGTGAGGCACTTAAGATGTGTTTGGCTCTGGCGAAAGGCAAGGGGCAAGCAGACCACTGCTGTGTGCCATTGCAGACAGTTTGGCCCCAATTTATAAGGGCACAAAGTTCTGATTCTTGCATTTGAGCAGTGCTTATATAACAGATAATACATAAATCCAGTGACTAGAAGTTTTGAAAGATCTTTTTCTTGTTCTTAAAATTTTATGACTTGACAATAAGAATCAATATTACACTTCCAGAATTGTGATCCATATTTTCATTTTGCGCTTTGTTTTTGTGTACTTTAGCTCCCGAAGCATATTTTAAGTATTTTCTTATTTTGATAATTTTCTTCTTTTTTGATTATTTTCCTGACACCAACTAGATTAAAAACCTAGACATCCACAAGCTTGGGCACCCTTGGGTTTTGTCTTTCTCTGTAAGCAGAGATGTAATGTGTAGGAAGAGTTGAAAATGTCTGCGAGAGAGAAACAATAGAAGTCAAGATTCTTGTATTTTTTATTGATGTTGAGAAGTTTTCTTTGGCTGCAGAATCCCTATAACACTTGACTAGGACCCCTTTTCAACATTATTTTGATTACATATCCTTTCTTTACGCTCGTTTGTCATATATTCCAAGACCTTTTGAACCTTTATTTTAACCACAATAAATGCCTTTTTGCCTTCCTTTGGCAAAATTTTAAAAAATCAGAACTTCAGGGCTTTACTTTTAATGGAACTGACACTGAAACTTCAAAGAATGATAAAAATCACAAAACAGAATTTTTTGCCTTGTAAGTCTTTTTCAAAATGCTACACTTGCTCTTTTAATCTCCGATGCATAAGAAAACTAATAAAAGCACAATATATTATAACAAACTTATGTATGTGTGACAATGCAACTGGTACTGACCTTGTTTTCAGTAATCACTTCATATCTATGTTTTGAGCTGTCTGTAGTTTCAGTTTCTGAACTTTCAGCACAATAACTTGGAGTTCGCATCACACTTCTGTAAGGTGGTGGTGAAGGATTTTTTTTCAAAGATCCTGTGTGTCTTATACTTCCAGCACCATCAGCACCAGGTAAATTAGAAGACTGATAAGAGGGTGGCACAGTTATAGAATGTCTATGTGGCACTGGACTCTGGTACACTTCTTTCAAATTATTACATGGAACAAATCCACGATTTGCTGAAATACATTAAATTACCATTACTCATCCCTTAAATATACAATATTCACTATATTTCTTACAGTTAGCAAATATCAAAATAAATTTGTAACAACATTTAGAAAACTCTTTAAACATTTTGGTTAGAGAAGTATTTAATTAATTTCACCTCAAGATGAAGTTAATCAGAAAAAAGAAATACTTTACAAATTGATTACTCTTCAGACAAAAACTGGGGGCAAATTGTGTTAAAGGCAATGAAAATTTCCCCTATTCAAAATCATACATGAGATTATCATTAAAGACATTTATTGATACAGTTTTTATCTCGATAAATCCCTCATTGTTATATTTAATCATGTGTACATGAATGTATGAAAAGAGCTTACCTTGGACAACAGCTATGAATTTTTTCCCAATTTTCCCAAGAAAGTGTCATAAAATTTAGTGGTAGACATTATTGATACTCAAAAAGTAAGTAGTGCATGTCATACCACTATTTGTGCATCAGTGCCTAATAACACTTATTTTAACAGAAAAAATTCTTGAGTGCAATTCGAAGACAGCTCTTTTCATCATAGGATACATATGCAGGGCCTCCGAGGCTGTAATGTTTTTTAGTTTGCTTTTACTAGGCCCAGCTGCATTTCTATGAGAATGCCATCTGTGTAACCTTTATTCTATCATTCTACTTTCATTTTAGTTCAAAAGAAAAATTCTCAGAAGTTCAATAGACAGGTCCTGCAATTTAACTGTATTACATAAATGAATATACAGGGCTCTGAAGGTTCTATTTTGGAATTGTCAGAAATTGAAGTTCTAGAGGAGAGGGGTGGAGGAGGAGCCTAGAAGAAAGTGTCTACTATTTAGAGGAAAGCAGATCTTACCAGAAATCTAAGTTACCAGAATGTGGCATCTTGAGTTCATTATTATTGTGTGTGTTCTAACACAGCTTTGCCACTATGGCAATAGATTTGAGGACATTAGAAGAGTTATTTTATTTAATGATCAGTGCACATATTCCCAAACAGATCATCTCGCTCCCATTCGAAACAACGGAATTAGGAAATGTTCACTGAGAACTGCAAAAAGTGATTACTCCCAATAAGACTCTCACTATTGACAAGCAGTTGCTTTTGTATCGAGGGAGATGCAGTGTCATATAATATGTGCCCCAAAAGTTGGCAAAAATAGGAGATCAATTTTTTTGTCTTTCTGACAAAAAAAAGTTATATGCTACAAAAGAAGTCCAAATGTGCCTGTTCAAAAAAATTAGCAAATATCCTCAAGTAGGCTTACTCAGAAACTAAACAAAACACACCCAGCAGTGAGGGATATAATAAAGTAAAAATGTGTACCTCTTATTCACTGATTGACTATGTTGTGTTTCTGGATGCATCAACTGCTGTAGTCATTAATCTTGTAAATGTCTGCTTGCTTTTCATCACAGGAGGTGGTCATGTTCTTCCCCCAATGGATGGTGAGATTGTGTGCCAAACTACACTTCGGCTTGCAGGGTTTCCTCTCCAGATATCTCCCCAATTGGATCACCACCCCAGCCAGAACAAGCTCACTCAATGTGTGGTAGTGTAGTGCGTGTAAGTGTAAGTGTAAGTGTGCAAGAGTAAGGGGTGAGGATAAGTTAAATTCTCGTGATGTAGGCTATTAGAATCTTTGCCGATTCGAAAAGGGCAATGTATGGTTACTACGATTTTTATCGGTATTTGCTTTCAGGCGCGTTTTCATATTGCATATCTTCTATGTTAATTAACCATCTCTCTTTTCTACTTGGAATTTTTCTGTCTACTGTTTTTTCAAATTTTGAAATGTTTCGTTTCGACCACGGCGTATCTCCGGAAGCTGACTCTTTTCAAAAATAATTTTATATTCGCTTAGCATTACAGCAAAAACTAGCTGGGCCTCTGGAGCCTGTTTTTCGTTACTGCTACTCATATTCGAATTTAAAGAACGAGACAACAAAATATTGCTCTTTATTCCGCACAAATGTTCGCGACGCGCGTAACGTATGTAACGTCTTTGTTACTCAAGAAACCAATTTTTAAAACTCTTAGCCTGCACTATAAATTGTTCACAACGAGCAAATGCTTGCGAGACATGAGTAAGATCTTCGGAGACATACGAAGTTTTTATTCATACGAAATTGAGATTCTGCTCAGTGCCGCGGAGTAGACTCTCTTTGCTCCGGAGAAAGTGCTCATTTTTATTCATATGATCCATCATCTCAATAAAGTTAGGATGATCCATCTTAGAAAGTACAGGCTTGAATTAAAAAAAAAATGAATTTTCAGAGAACCGTTGCCACACAAAAATATGTTTTTTTTGTGATTGAACTTATTAATGTTCCTTCCAAAGCTCATATTCGTTTTTGTAGCGACATGCGCCTTTATACCGAAAAGAAATCGATGTTACGGAACACAATGTTAGGAATAAATAGAACTTCGGTCTCATAGGTTGGCAGTATCTGCCACTTCCATGGCTTTGTATTCTTTGGCAATCATGCCAGTTGTATGCGTTGTGTGTGCCAGAGAGTATATATGTGTGTGCAGTGTGCCATCTTGAATTAGAAGTGTAAAGCAGAGTTATGTTCCTGTAAAGCAGTGAATAGTAAAGTTATGTTATGGTATGATGTGTCTTTGTATCTAGCAGCACTCCAGATCCACTGACAAAATGTTAACAGGTTATGGGCCCAGGATTCGCTTTAGTGTTTGCCGCGACGTGACTGACACGTAATGGAAACATTCGCGCGGTCGTTTAGAGGGTAAACAAAGGAATCAGCGTGTCATAAAAACGAATCCGGGAAGCTTAGCGCGTATTGAAACGCTAAACAAGGGCAATTTTTACACGTGAAAGATTCAGATGGAAGCCCTGCTAATCAAGAACGACGAGTCAACGGAAATCAAGCCAAACCGGAATGTATTGAAAACGGTGCCGATTCTGACGCTAGAGTAAGGGCGTGGACGGGCGTCGATAGCAAGGCGAAAGCAGACATCATCCTCTCCAACCCCTCTTCGGAGTTAAATCAGGTAAAAGGTTGCACTACCTCGCACGAAGTGTGGTTAAGGTTGGAAAGTATCTACCAATCCAAAGGGCCCGCGCGGAAAGCAGCTCACGCTTCAGAAGATGACGGAAGGGGAGAGATTCTATAATCTCGCAAGTTTTTTTGACGCTGTGGACAAGCTACGCGACATGGTCATATAAATCAACAATGACCTAATCGCCATCATGCTGCTGTATAGTTTGCCACCGAGAATTTCCGGTGTGCAATTGAATCCGGCGACGATATACCGCCCCCGGAGACATTGCGTATCAAAATCGTGGAAGAAAATGACGCGAGGAAATGTGTCGACAACCACGGCACAGCGCTAAATGCGATGGCAGCACACAACTACAAGAAGATCTTTAAGAAAAATGGCAACGAAAAGGGTGAAAGGTCCAAGAAAGAGCCCTTTAAATTTAAATGTCACAGGTGCCATAAAGTTGGACATAAGGCGGCGGATTGCAGAAGCGAAAAACCGAATGCAAGAAATGCGGAGGACATAAATTTTCTCGCTTCGCATACAGACAACAGTAAGGATAGAAATGGTGCCTGGACATCGGATGATCCGCACATCTGTGCCAACATCTGGGTGATTTCGCGAGAGCTGACGCAGACGTGAAAGACAAGTTCAATCTTGCCAGCAGTGCAAGCACCGAAATAACGGCAAAGGGCGTGGCAAAACTTACCACGACTCTTGACAACGCCGACACAACTGTGTGGCTGAAGGACGCCCTTCATGTTCGAGACTTGCGTTCCAACCTCTTTTCGGTGGCAAAAATCACTAACAAGGATTTAGTGTTACCTTCACCAAGACGTCTGCGGAAGTAGTTGGCCTAAAGGAAAATGTAGCTGTCAGGGCGAAGAGAGTCTATGGGCTGCATTATATTCAATTTCAAGATAAGGACTGCAGAAGTGTAGCCAGCAACGACGACGCTCCTGACGGCTCCTGACTAGACGAAGACCTTGTAAGAATTGCACCGCACACTTAGTCACTTGAATATACAGGATCTACGCGAAGCAGCTATGAAGGGAACCATCCAGGGGTTGAAGCTCGATGATATTGAGGGTGACTTCGTATGCTAGGTCTGTCTTCAGGGGAAGATGAATCGTCCACCTTTCCCAAAGAAGTCGGGGGGAGAATTTTGCATTGGTGACATAATTCACTCCACGTGTGCGGCCCTGTACGGACGACATCAGTTGGAAAGTGTCGGTACTTTTCGACATTCATCGACGACGCATCGAGGTGCAGTTCCTGAAGCAAAAGGGCGACGCCTTCGGGAAAATATGCACATCCAGCAATTCGACATATCAACAGCATACCTCAACGGCGTCTTTGAAGAGGAGGTATACCTGGACGTACCAGAATACACCGTGGACATGTTGGAGATGATCACCCGGAGGGGGCAGAAGAACAGCGACATCAAGAAGAAGGCTGAAGATATGCTCGAGAAATTGTCCAAGGGTAACAAGGTTTGTTAAATGAATAAAGCTCCCTACGGGCTGCGTCGGGCAGTTCGTGAGTGGCACAAACGATTAGACAAAGAGCTTCGCAACTTTGGCGCATCACCAACCGACTCGTGTCCCTGTGTGATGTCGCTGTCTTGAATCAGAGTGGTCATCAACTCATCATTGTGGTGTATGTCGACGATATCCTTGTCATGTCTCAGAATTTGGAGGATATGAGTAGTTGCAGAGAGTACCTGAGCCTGAAATTTGAATTGAACTGGGCGATTTCAAGCATTGCGTAGGCGTGGACTTCATTAGAGACAAGGATGGAATCTATCTCAGAATACGTACACAAAGGGTATACTTTGACGTTTTGGCACGCTGGACTGAAACCCTGTAGCTGGATGTAGGCAACAAGCTAATCAAGTCTGAAAAATGGAAGCAGTCCGACGGCGATAAACCGCCACATCGTGAGCTGGTGGGTGGCCTGATGTATCTGGCTGCCACCACTCGACC